AGGAATCTCTATACCACATTCCAGAGTGGTTGTGCTAGTCTACTGTCCCAGCAACAATGTACAAGTGTCTGTTTTATCCCACAACCTTTCCAGCATTGATTCTTGATCATTGCCATTCTGACTGAAGAGAGGTGAAATCTTAGTGTAGTTTTGATTTGCCTTTACCTAAATGCTAGAGATGTTTCTCATATAATGTTGGCCATTTGAGTTTCTGTTTAATTCCTTTTCCCATTTATTAGTTGGGTTTTCTTTTTATCTTTCTTTTTTTTTTTTTTTGGATGTTAACTTTTTTTGAGTTCTTTGTATTTTCTGGATATTAATCCTTTTTCAGAGCAGTGCCAGGTCAAGATTTTCTCCCTTTCTTTAGACTCTCTCTTCATGTTCTTACTCATTTCCTTTGCTGCACAGAAGCTTTTTACTTTGATGGCATCCCACTTATTGATTCTTGGTTTTATTTATTGCACTTTGGGGGTCTTGTTAAGGAAGTCAGTGCCTGCATCTATATGAAGGAGTGTTGGCCCTGATGTTTTCTTCTAGCAGTTCTAAAGCTTCTCATCTAATTTCTTATCCTTTAATCAATTTTGTTTTGAGTTTTGTTCAGGGTGAGTGATAGGGGTCTAAGTTCATTTTTCAATAGATAGCTATTCAGTTTTTCTAGCACCATTTATTAAAAAGGCTGTTTTTCTCTCCAACAAATATTTTTGACTCCTCTGTCAAATATCAGAGAGCTATAGGTACATAGATTTATCTCTGTGTCTCCTACTTTGTTCCACTTATCTAACCAAGACAATAAATGAATTCTATAGTGACAATAGTAGAACATTGAAAATAGCTCTACAATTAAATTTGTAGAACACTGAAGAAATAAATTGAAGAAGACCTTAGAAGACAGAAGACATCTCATGGTCTTGGATACACAGAATCAATATTGTCAAAACTGCCGTTCTATCAAAAGCAATACAGACATTCAGTGAATCCTCATCAAAATACCCATAACATTCTTTATGGACTTAGAACAAGTGATTCTTAAATTCTTTGGGAGGAATAAGAGACCCAGAATATTCAAAGAAACACTAAGCAAGAAAAGCGAAGCAGTAAGCATCATAATACCTGGTCTAAAATTCTATTAGAGGTGTAGTAATAAAAACAGCATGGCATTCTTATCAAAATAGACACAAAGACCAATGGAACAGAGTAGAAGAAAGCACACACATCAACACACAATTTAATGAGTCTCTAGAAGAAAATAGTCTGGAATTGTTAACAATAAAGTTTGCTTGTATTTTAACACAGATGAAACTTGGTTTTGCTTCATGAAATCATGTGGTAGATGTTACCCATTCTACATTCCCTTTGTATAATAGAATTATTGGTTTATTTTCCCATTTGACTTTTCAGTAGGGGACTTTTACTAGTATGGGCAGAGTATATTTCCTGCCTCATTTGTTTTGTACTTGGCCTATGTAATTTGCCTTGAACATTAGAATGTGGACAGATAGGACAGTGTAGAACTTCTAACTCAAGATCTTAAAAAGTCTACTCTGCTTCCCATTTGCTGATCATAAAACTCCTACCCACCACCATGACATGTCCAAGTTTCAAGGCGGGTTGGAAATGCACGGAGCAAACCTCAAGCAAAGGCACCCCAGCTGACCAACAGAAAAAGGAGCAAGCAAAAATTGATGTTCATTTAAGTCACTGAGATAGTGGTTTTGTTGTTTTATGGGAAACAGAGACTAATGGACAGAGATTGCCTGGAAATAAGGCACAAGGCTGCCTAGCAACTTCTGATGGAGGAAAATGGAGTATTTCCTTGATGTGGAGGATACAGTACTCTTTACCCTATCCTTTTCAGCCCTCAGTATTACATCCAGGCAGAGACCTCAAGTACACAAAATGACATAGAAAAACTCTTTTAATTGTTGGAAAGGACTGTTGGGTAGATTTGGATATTCTAAGAGATATATGTATACCTAAACATATGACTTCAGATGAACCATAACATGGAGATTTTGCTAACAGTGTGTGCTAAGAATAATAATTTGTCATATTTTATATCTATCAGTGTAGAAAATCATATGACAGGAGTAAAAGCTGTCACTGTAATAGAGATAAAAATAATTAAATCTAGTGAAAGAATTCGACTGAGTTGGGGGATATCAATTTTTATTCTAGCTCATCAGTGAGAAGATTCTATATGAATGTAGAAATATTGAGATCAAGAAAATAAATTCAGTGTTTTGTGTTGGCAAAGAGTATTTAGATATTAGATAGTTTTCTTGAATGATGATAAATAAATAGAAAAAGTAACACAAAACACAGGGCTCATGAGTGAAATGTGCTGTAGATTATGAGGTACAATGTTAAAAAAGCACTTCATAAACTCAAAGGAAGAAATCACATTAGTATAATCTACCCTGAAATACAAGAGTTTTTAGATGTCCATTTGATGAATTCAGTAGAAAAGAAATTTGTAAGCATGAAGAGGTAATAATTAAATGTATAATGCTACACATTTGGAAAAATGTAATAAGATAATACATAGATAGATAAAAGGTAAGATTAAAAACTTGGAAAATATTTAATACTAATAACTATTTTGGGGAGCATGGTATAACTTAAAGTGTTCATATTATCAAATATTTAAGTGGTTTTAAATTTTTGAAGTATAAAATTTTGATTAAATTTTAATGAATAAAATTTTCCTATTCTGATTATAACCTTAGATTATGTTCCAGAAATTAGATATTTTGGCCCCAAATTCCTATGAGATGCCATCTGATTTCAAAAGATTTGCTCATCTTATGTTGCCTCCCTTTCAAATGTCAATGAATTGTTTTCTAAAAGCATTCTATTGATTTTCATTATCATTAATGCTGAAATTTATTGGGCTTTAGCCAGAAATGAACATTTTAATGTTTAAACTTAGAAGTTTAATATAATTACAGCAATCAAGCAACTTTTTCTAGGACTACTGGGAAGATAATCTCTTAAACTGTATACAGCTAGGTTGCAATGACCTATAATGGCTAAGGACTCTATTTGTGGCTAATTGGAGAAGAGAGAATTTGAAGAAAAATCTAAACCAGAAATCCTATTACTTTTATATTACATTGAGTAATTAATAATCCAGGTCATTTTGTTCATGTGTCAGTGAATTCCTGACATATAACTTAAGGCAGTGTGACTTGAGGCAGTTTGAGTTGGATTTTTGTGCTTTTTAGCAGAATTGTGTATCCTTAGTAACACATAGGTAAAGGATTATTTTTATTTCTTTATATGGTATTGAATAGATTTGCAAACATTTAATTTTAATATTTTCTATACTTGAAATTTCTGGTCATAACATTGTTATAGTAAGGATAAATATGCCCCAAGTATGTATTAACAATCTAAGATTGCATATTTTGATAACAAATCACATATAAAATCTCTCCAAGGAACTCAAAATCCTCTTTTACATTAGAAACAAATCTGTTTTGGAGTTCTTTTTGATATTTTGTTTTGGCCTTATAAACTGTGCAGCTAGTACATGACTACCTAGTGATAAAATACATGCACATTTTACCTTTTTTCATGTAAAGACATATAGGAAAGCAAATATAAATTTCATCTCTGAGGAGCACAGAAATAAATGTTCTATCTTTAGTAGCAAGCTTATTTTTGTTACTTTTAGTCACTATTTTGGTGAATAATTCTATCATTTATTTTTGGAAAATAGTTTGTTTCATCTGAAATAGGATTTACTTTTGTTTGTTAGAAATACCTAGGAGCTTAAACAAATGTCAGATATTTGGTTGTATTTGTGTGATGCTTGAGATATTTTATCCTGTTATTTCTATTTTTTGTTATTGTTGTTCAGAGAAATATTTTGGTTGATGTTTCAGAACTCACTGAATCAATTAGACAACAGATACACACTTGACATTCAATTACACACTTGCACACTCATTACTTTTGCACAAAATTCTTTCAAATGTAATACTTATAAAAATGTGTCTCCAATGATGAAGCCTAGACACAGTGAATATTGTAATACATTTAGAAAAAGAACTAACAATCTGTTCTCTCAAACCTAGAGCTCTTCCCTTTCTTAGATCTATGAATTTTTGAGCTCAATAGAACAATTACTTTTTCTTGCTCAATAGAGCAAGAAAAGAGTCTTTGAATAATCTCTATCATGTTTCCTTTTACCACCTTCTTGTAGCTCAAGGATCAGCACATTTTTGTGAAGATTCAGATAATGAATAGCATAGCCTTTGTGGGCTATTAGTTCTATACAACAATTACTATTTCTGTTTTTGTAGAATAAAAGCAGCCATAGACAATGTGTAAACAAATGTATATAGCTCTATACCAAGAAAACTTTATTTCAAAACTAGACAGTGTTGTGCTTTTGGTCTACAAGCCATAGTTTGCCAACTCCTTTTGTAGACAGGTAATTTTCTCATTGGCAATGTCCCTAGGAGACACATTACTAGATGACAATGAATAATGTGCTTTAGTAATTGTAGTTCTAAAAGACTCCAAGTGTTTATATTCCTTGCCCTCATGACACAGTATTGTGAGACTTTTCTTTTGCCTAAACAATATTTACAGATAGTTTACTTAATTTTAGTAATATAAGATAATTTATCTTACCTTGATTTCTGGAAAACTAGAGATTTTTACAAAAATAATAAAGTTCTGAAAGTTCTAAGAAACTACTTTCTATGTGAAATATAGACAGCTACTGGCAAAACAGCCTAAATTGAGAAAAAGGAATTTTACAGATATACTAACATTATTTTCCTTTCTTTAAGTGGTTATTTTCAAGAAACAGTTGAAGGATTACAAAACAGAACAACTAGTATTATAGTTTGGATCTAGAATATGTTGAAGACTTGATCCCCAGATGGTGTGCTATTATGAGATGGGACTTACTTGGGAAAGTAGATCATGGGAACATAATTTAAAGCGTCTGCTTTATCCTCAACCCCTCTCTCTTTCCCTTCTTCTAGCTGCCATGAGGATGCAGTGTCAACTGTGTTCAGGACATCCTTAAGTTGTGGTATTCATGTTCACCCTGGGCCTAGAAACAATAGATCCAGATGACTGGTGTTAACCCTCTGAAACAGTGAGTCAAAATAAATCTTTTTTTCTAGTAAGTTGCTTTTTCTCAGGTGTTTAGTTACAAAAACAAAAGTATATTACAACTTGCAATCAGCTTGCAAGTCAGCTGATCAGAGAAATATGCATATTGAATCACCAAAAGTCATTCTAAGGTAGAGTACTGTATTTGTTTCTATGACTAAGAAATTACAATAAGAGTGGTTTAAGATAATAGAAATTTATTCTCTCAGAGTTCTAAAGTCTAGTTATCAAAAATCAAGGAGTTTACTGGGTTATACTCCCTTTATAGGATTTAGGTGTGAATTTGTTCCTTGATTTTTGCAGCTTCTGCTGGTTGCCAGCTTTCCTTGACATATACTGTACAAAGTCACTCTCTGCTTCCACTTTAAATGTGTGTGTGTGTGTGTGTGTGTGCATGCACACACACACCTCTTAGAAGGACACATTAAAGCTGTTAGTACCCATACACATAATTACAGAAAATTTCATCTCAATACCTTTGATTACATCTGCAAAGTTCTCTCTTTTTTTTTTTT